AATGCATCTAGGATAAGAAGGAAAGCAATTAAATGGGAAAAATCTTTGTGTCAAATTTCTCAGATAAGAGTTTGGTATCTTAGAGATAAAGACAACTAAGAGAAATATCTAAGACCAAAAGTCATTCACCAATTAAGTGGTCAGGGGCAGCTACATGGCGCAGTGGATAGAGCACCAGCCCTGGAGTCAGGAGGACCTGAGTTCAAATCCTGCCTCAGACACTTGACACTAGCTGTGTGACCCTAGACAAGTCACTTAATCCCAATTGCCTCACCAAAACAAACAAAGAAAAAAACAATTAAGTGGTCAAAGAACATGAACAGTTCTCAAAAGAAGAATCCAAATTATCAACAACCATTTAATACATTTCTCCAAATCACTAATAATAGCCAAACCCCTCCAAATGCCTGTAAAAATGGCTCTAAACAAACCACTAATAATAAGAGAAAAAACAATCAAAATAACCCTGAAGTTTCCCCTCATATGCTACAAATTGGCAAGATGATCAAAGATGCAAATAGTCAATGTATTGATAACTTCTGAATATTTTTAAGGCTTTGGTCCTTCCTAAAATGATTGCCTCAAGGGAGGAGTCACCGATGGGGAGAGGATGTCTGTGGTTGGTTAGTTGGTAGTCAAGGAGAAGGAGGAAGATTCCCGAGACCATTGGATAAAGTCAAGTTGTAAATGAGGGAAAACATGGCCAGGATTTTTTCTAAAATGGTGGTCTCAGGGAAGGAGTTACCAGGGAAGGAAAAGAGAACTCCAAGGTAGAGTTTTCTCAGGGTGCCATTTGGCAGTGGAGGATAAGGAGGATGATTCTGGAGATAGCAGAGCTGTTAGTGAGGTAAAAGTAAGGCTTGGGTCCTGCCTAAAAGACGAGTCATCAATGAGGAGAAGAGGGCCCCAGGTGGATGTTTCTTAGGATGGCAATGAAGCAGCTGAAGAAAATAAGGAGGATTCCACAGAGCTGGAGTGAGTGAGGGGAAGCATGCCTGGGGTCGTTTCCAAAATGGTGGTCCCAGTGAAGGAGACATTAATAAAGAGAGGAGACCCCCAGGGAGGTTTCTCCAGCTGTCAATGGGCCAGTTGAGAAGAAGGAAGATTCTAGAGAACGTCTAGGTAAAAGCTGAGTGATATTGTATCTGATGGAGAAACACTAAAAATATTCCCATTAAAGTCGGGTGTTAATAGGGATCTGCTATTGTCACTCCTGCTTAACATAGTTTTAGATATTTTAGCAGTAAGGCACAAAAAAAAGGAATAAGCATCAGGAACAAGAGTAAAAGATCTTGATTTATAGTTGACATGATTGCATACCTAGAACCCAAGATGGTCAACCTCCTCAAAATTAATGGACTTAATACACAGCTTGCAGGATACAAGATAAATCATAAAACCATCTGCATTTCGATATACCTCAACCAAGAATCAGAAGGTGTTGATGTAAATAGAAATGCCCTTTTCAATAACGAGAAACTATAGAAAATGTTTGAATGTTGACATTTCAAGACATACAAGAGACGATGACTGGAACAGAAATAGAGGAAGGAGGGCTTCCTCACAAACTTAGGAAAAGCTTCTGCCTGTCCACACATTCTGTGACCCAGTGACCCTGGCCTCCGTGTTGCTCCTTAAATACTCCAACTCCTGACTAAGCATTTTCACTGGTTTTCCCTATATCTGCAATGTTCTCCCTCCTTGCTTGCCCAGCTTCCTTCAAGAACCATTGTCTAAAAGAAGCCCCTTCCAATCCCCCTTAATTTTAGTCCTTCACTCTTGGATTACCCTCAAGTGAGCCTGTGTGTGTATTGTTGGTACAGAGGTTTTCGCATGTTGTCTCTCCCATTAGACTATTAGGTCCTTGAGAGAAAGGATTGGGTTTCTGTGTTTGTTTTGTTTGTTGTTTTGTATGTGTTTGTGTTTATTGTTGTCATTTTGCCTTTCTTTGTATCACTCCAGGTCTTAGCATAGTACCTGGCACATAATAGGAGTTTAATAAATGTTAATTGACTAACTAAAGACATCAGTTTACACTCACTAGAATGGGAAAAAAAATTTTTTTCAGAAAGTGATAGTCCAGTGCTGGTAGGACTATGGGGAAATAGTCACTTGAATACATTGTTGGTGGGTATAAAATTTTCACCATGGCAATCAAAATGGAATCAGTAACAAAACTTATCATACATTTTGACCCAATGACTCCATTGCTAACACTCTATCCCCCCAAAACATCACTACAGAGGGGAAAGGTCTAGCTGTAGAAAAATATGCATAGCTACTTTTTCTAAGATCAAAAAATCTATCTCTCTAACAATTGGAGAATAGCAGAATAGTTTGGGGTATATACAAGTCTATCCGTAGAACAGGGCTTCTTCACCTTTGTTGTTCTGGGGAAGCTGCTGGCCTCCTGCTCAGAATCACATGTTTAAATGGCTAAAATAAAATACATAGGATTATAAAGGAAGCTAATTATATTCTAATACAATTGTCAAAATATTTTTCTCATCTAAATTTAAATCCGGGGGGCAGCTAGGTGGCACAGTGAATGGAGCTTTGGCCTTGGAGTCAGGAGGACCTAAGTTCAAATCCAGCCTCAGACACTTAACACTTACTAGCTGTGTGACCTCAGGCAAGTCACTTAACCCTAATCGCCTCACCAAAAAGCAAACAAATAAATAAATAAGTTTTAAATCCATATCCTCTGATTTCAGATCCAGTATTCTTTATACAGGGTAGCTAGGTGGCACAGTGCATAGAGCCCCAGGCCTGGAGTCTGAAAGATTTGGCCTCAGACACTTACTAGCTGTGTGACCCTGGGCAAGTCACTTAACTCTGTTTTCCTCCGTTTTCTTGTCTGTAAAATGAGCTGGAGAAGGAAATGGCAGACCACTCTAGTATCTCTACCAAGAAAACCCTTAATGGGGTCACAGAAAGTTGGACACAACTGAAACAACTGAATTACAACAAGAAGTTTGTGGACTTCTGACAGCTCTCCATAGACTCAGTAGGGGGCCATGGACTACAGATTCAGAGCCCTTTGAATGGAATGTTGCAAACAGGTCCTGCTCCACTTTTGCAATGTTATCAAGAGTATCTAGCAGAGTGCCTGGAACATCAGTGCTCAGTAAAGGCTTGGTAAGTGACTGATCGATACACTGATAGAACAGAATATTAGCGTGCTATAAAAAATGTAAACATGAAAAATATAAGGAAATACAGAAAGATTCACATGAGGGGATACAGAATAAAATAACATCAGCAAAAGCAGACTGCTAAATTGCTACATGCTACAACATTTTTTAAGGAGAAGAAGAAAAGAAAGAATCGTTGGATAAAAGGTGGCAGCATTTTGGAGCTGCCTGTTGGGTATTCTGAACAAGGGCCTCTTGTTTCCTTCCCAACCGATTCTTTCAGTTTTTCCTCACGAAGGCTAGGGGGCTGCAGTAGGATTTCTCCCCCTTTGCTTTCTGTATGTCTGGTAGTGTGCTTTTGGTAGTGCTTAGTATGTTTATCGTAAAAACTGTGTAAAAGCAATAGGCCCATCTAATACACCTTTTTTTAATACACCATCTAATTCTAAGTTTCTATACAAATTCTAACCTTTAGCTTAAGGCCCTTATCCCTTTTGGAATCCAGATCCCACTGCAAAGGGCCACACTTTAAAATGTGGCAGTCAGTCACTGCATTTCAGCATGAATGAGGAATGTGAAAGTAGGTTGGGCTAGCTGAGAGAAGGGGAGGCCCAGAAGGGCCCTGACTGGGAAGGAAGAGAGTGGATTCAGTGGGGATGGCACTTGTCTATATCCCACTTTGGTCCTGGGCACGTGTCTAAAAGTCTGCAGATTCAGAGTGAAAGCGAATATGATATCAATGGAAATGTGAATAGATGAGGACATGACTAAGAAGAGTTAATCTGACTAGGCTCAGATTTAAGATTGTTTGGCTGTTACATTACCATTAGGTTGGGCCAATAACTCATGAATGGTTGTGGCTCATGCGAGATGCCTCGGCAAGCACGAATGATCCCCAACGGCACCAGTGGGCTGGCCTCTACAGCCACTGGTGACAAATGCCATGATTAACACAAGAGTCCTCTATCCTGATCCAGAAGGATGGAGTTTAAACTCAGAACCCAGTGATTTGTAGTCACTGTTATTTCCCAAGTACTAAGTCAGCCGGAGTACACTTGACAGGTAATTTGCAAGAGGTCTGAACTGGTTAATCCATCTTCCAGAGGGTGGGCCGAAAACTCCTGAGAGGAACTCAGACAAGAAAAGACTGGCTGACGAGAAAAATCCATATTTCAAAACAATTTGCCACTAAAAGCCCTGTAATAAGCAGAGGTAGAATCAGAGCTAAAACAAAAAACTGGCTCGTTTGGTAAGCTGCCAGTAGAAGGAGACAGAAGTTCCTTTCTCTTTGTGGCCAAGAAAAGTATTTACTGTTTTTACAAGACACCAGTGGCGGCAAGCTAACTGTCATTGATGGCTTGCCCAGTGCTCTGAAACCAGACTGCAGCGTAAACACTGCCACCAGGGCAGTGGACCAAGGCCCGGCTGCTGCTTAACAAGGTTGGGAAGGGCACACCCCGACCTGCCCGGGGAATGGAAGAACTCTAGCAGTGGGGCAGTGGGATACCATGAGGGACATTCAGACCATTCCCTAGATAGTGTACTATTAGCTCCAATTCATTTCTTCCCAATGCCAGCCTGCTAAGCCAGGACGAGCCTCTCTGTAACACTGGTATGGAGGGGGAGATATGGGTGACCATGGGAGATCAGGTATGTACTGGCTGTGAGCTGGGGGTGTGATCCAACCTATTTCCTGCTGAGTCATGTAATAACCACACTCTAAGAAGCCTGTGTTGAATCTGAGAGGGTCTCTGAGAGCAGAGGGTGGGGAGAGACCCAAGGGGAAACAAAACTGTGTCCGCACAGGAGCCATGGGGGCCGGGTCTCAGTGAAGGCATGAATTGTCTTTAGAAAAAGGAAACTTACCATGAGAAAGGTATTTAAAATCCACAAAAAATTTCACAGATTCATAAATCACAGGATCATTAGGGTTCACTCTTCCTCTTGCTAAATGGCAGGAAAACTCAATTCGTTTTTCTGTCGAAAAGGAAACAAACACATAAAATAAGTTTATTTTTCAATCTTGACAAATCCCGTCTGCTTGTTTCCAAAATACGTAAACATTCTCCGAGCTAGCCTGGGTTGCTGTTGTTGTTTGTTTGAGTGTCCTCTCAGTCTCCTCATCTAGAAAATGGGGGCAATGTCTGTTCCTGACTTCACTGGGCTGTTGGGAAAGGGCTTTGGAAACTGGAAAGCACCACACATACATGGGAGAGATTATTCATCATTATCATTCACCGACATCGTCATCCAGAGATTTATGTGGCATTAATTACTTAAGTCACTGAACAGGGGAGTAGGGAGGGGGTAAGAACAGGAAAATCAATATATAATAGAATCACCGAGTCTTAGTGCTGGAAAAGTCTGGAGATCGTCTTGTCCATACCCATTCATTTTACAGATGGGGAAACTAGGCCCCAACAAGGGGAAATAACTTTCCTAAGATCACATAGTAAGTGGCAGAATGGGGAGCGACTGGCATTCTTTCTACTGCATCACCTCTTTTACACGAAAAAATGTAATATCTGAGATGAATAACATGAGTCACACATTAGCTGTTGAGGCTCTGTGGCATACAGCAGAGTCTGGGCTTGGAGTCAGGAAGACCTCGGTTTAAATTCTACCTCTGACACTTACTAGTGGTAAGACCCTGGGCAAGTTATTTCCCCTACGTGTACCTCAGGCAGCTTCTTAGGGCTTCCCTACCAAGCTACAGATGGGCTATAGTGGAGGAGGTTTCCACACTGGGAGTTCCCCACATTAATTCGAAATCCCAACTCCTTTTATCTACCCACAGATTAACGATAGTGCTTTTCCAGTTAGTGACCACAAAACCTTATAGTGGCTTGAAGTATCCAGTGCTTTAGACTCCTATGAGAAAGGAGGGTCAAAGAACCATCCCCAAAGCTTGCCAAATTTTGCCATTTCTCCCTTCCAACCTCTTCTCTTTGTACTCGTCTCCCCAGCACCTAGACACAGTGCTGGAAGATAGTAGGCACTTAAGAAATGCTTGTTGATTGATTAATTGATTGAACAGCTGGTGCTCCCCTGGCAGCATTACTTGCAACCACCCAAGAGTGACCTTCACACTCTAAGATGAGCCTGGCACTGGGCCTCTGTGGCCAGTAAGCAAATGCCCCCGAGGAGAAAAGGCCCTCCTAAGGAGTGCAAATGGGAGCACAGGATCTGGAGCAAGTGAGAGCCTTTAGTGTTCCTCCTCATCTCTTCTTCTTTTCCTTCCCTCTCCCTCTCTCTCCTTTCTCCTACTTCCCTGCCTACATTTTAGGCCAGCCAGGGGGCCTCTGGTCATTACTTATTTCCCATAGTGGCACACTCAAGACTTAAAAGGGTGAAGTTTTTACCTGGCAAGGCTCCTTTTTGGTTGATATGCATTGGTTTCAAAGTAGCTAGTGAGGCACCTTAGCTTCCAACAACTCCCCCTTCCATCTTGGATTTCTTATTTGTCTTTTTATCACCTCTCATAAGACCTCAAAGCATTCTACTAATCCCTTATAAACTTTCACAGTGTTCCTGTACACTATAAAGCCCGATGTAATTCATAGGAGCAGTTCTGACCATCACCCCTTAGAATTGAGATAATGGTGTTAGGAGCTGATCCCCTAATGTTAGTATTTTGATCAATGTTTGTGCCATCAGCTTATTATGGGTATTGGCTCTCACTGCTTCTTTTATTCCTTTCTGACTGCTACTTTCCCCTTCGAACCAAAACACTTACCATTTAGAAAATCAGCAGTGACAGGGGCTGGCAGGATTGTCTGTGGAGAGAGTATCTTGAAGACTTCCTCGTGCTCTTGCTCAGGGAGAAGGGTTAATATATTCTGGTATACCAGCTCTGACTGATATGAAAAAAAAGTCTGTCATATACATATTTTATTACAACACAGTTAGGATATGGCAGCACTTTGGTAAATTAACTAGAATGCAAGTCTTGGCAATGTTTTTTTTTTTAAACATAGAAGAAAGTAATATACAATGTGTCTTTTGGAACTAAATAATTTGTTTTAATGAGTCCAAAACTGAGATGGATTTGTCATTTGAATAAAGTAGCATTAATTATTTATGGTTGCTCCAATATCCCAATGGATCTGCGGATATGCCCTCCAATGAAGCAACTCATACATGCCTGTCCACCCTGTGTGCCTCTTATCTATGTCCCCCTTAAAAAGTTCCCCACAGGGGCCCCACCCAATACACTGGAGGCCTTCCACCATCAACAGGATACCAGAGTGGAATACTAGAGCTACAGTCCCTTAATCAGCTATGGACTAGCTCATCTGCAGTTTAGCCATTAAGACCTGCCCAAGCGAAAAGCTTGTTGGGGGGTGAGTTAGGCGGAAGGCAATCAAATCTGAATTAGTAGACAAATTTAAAAAGTTATAATCTTATTGAGTTATAAAAATAATGCTATAGCTTTTTGTTAGCATTTCTGACCTCAATGAAAATATTTCTGTTTTGTTCTTCAAAATGATTTGGTTGTTTTTTTTTGTTTTGTTTTGTTTTTTACTTTATTGGGGCAGCACTGCTCTTCCAATTTGCAAATGGGCTGGACCATATAAATGGACAGTTTCTGCATATGGGCCATTCTACATCAAATAGTGTGCCCACCCATTCATTATTTCATTTTTTCAAAGTAGAATGGGAGGTTAACATTTTCATTTAAGAGAAATCAGAGTAACTCTGTCCTCATGACATTGATTCTCAAGGGGACAGGCACTATGACAATTGTTTCTGAATTAATTTCCTGATTTCACTCATTTGTTAGTGTCTAACCAAAGCACCGGACTCACTTCTCAGCAAGTAAATTGGCAGACGTGTTAACAGTCACTCAATCAATCAACAAGGCCTTACTAAACACTTACCATGTGCCAGGTACCTGACTGAGTGCTGGGGTTACAAAGAAAAAGCCTCAACATCCCCTACCCTCAAAGATCTTATATTCTGATGAGGAAGTCAACATGTACCCAGGATATATACAGAGTAGCTGTAGGTAGCCGGGAGGTTTAGGAGAGTGTTAGAGTCAAGAAGCCTGAGTTCGAATTCCACTTCAGACACTGTCTAGCCATGTGACCCTAGCCAAGTCACTGAACCATTCACTGTCTGCTTCAGGTTCCTCATCTGTGAAATGAGGATAATAATAGCTCCTACCTCCCCAGGGCTGTTGTGAAGATAAATTGAGAAAATACATATGAGGTGGTTGCAAAATTTAGAGCATTCTCTAAATGTTGGTTAGTATTACTGAAGGTCACATTAGACAGTAAGGCTCCAACAGCTGGAGGAGTCTGGGAAAGGCCTCCTGTAGGAGGCGGCATATGAACTGAATCTTAGAGAAAGCCTGGGCTTCCAAGAGGCCAACAGCCAGTGCAAATGTTAATTCCTTGCTCCCCTTCTCTATTAGCGTCCTGTTTCTCTTGTTAGAGTAGTGGTAATAGGCAGAATGAGACTAGTTCAGTAAGCTTTGTGAAACATCAAAAAAAAAAAAAAAGAGGGTAGCCTTCCAAAGAGAAGTATACTAATGTTAACTGGCTGTCATGGGTAACATGGTAGCTCCAGTCACATCAAAGAGAGAATGTGATCCAAGTCGAAGGAGCATACCCTAGTTGATGAACTGTGTAGCTAGACTGAGAATCTAAGAAAGAGGCACATCTCTAGGGGGTTCCTTCCCACTCGGGGCATGGGAACTTCATTAGGAAAGGTACTAATGTGGCCTGTGCTGAAACAGAACATCAGCAAATCACGATTAGACTGGAGGTTCCTGGAGAGGAGAGGAGATCCCAACATCAGTCCTCAGCAGACTGATGTTGGGATCTCCTCTCCTCTCCAGGAGGCCAGTCTTCTCCTCTTCCACACACTCCATGATCCAGCTGTACTGGCCTGCTTGCTGCTCCATACACACGCCATGTCACTTCCTATCTCTCAGCTTTTGCCCTGGCTAGACCTCATGCCAAGAATGCTCTCCCTCCTCACCTCCACCTCTTGCCATGCTGGGCTTCTTTCAAGATTCAACTCAAGCACTACCTTCTGCAGTAGGCCCTTCCACGTCCCTCAGCCACTAGACCTTTCCCCTCAAAAGTGATCTTTCTTCTACGACCCTGCCCCCCTGAATTTATCTTGTATGTACCTATGTAAAACTTGTCTTCCCCACTCAAATATAAGCTCCTCGAGGGCAGGAACCGTTTTTTTCTGTGTTTTTGCCTTTCTTTGTATGATAGGCCTTTATCCCCACAAGCATTTAATACATGTTTGTTGATTAACTGAAGTCTGCCCTTTGATTAATTTGGAAACATTCAATTACATCTCTTACTAGTGAGAGAAGAAAAAAAAATGAGCTATGCATGCCTTGGGAAGAACTGGAATGCCTATGAATATCAACAGGGTAAATGATAAAAGAATATTCCAGTCAAAGTCTGTGAATAAGATTAAGGATAAATTGATAACAAGGCTTCATGGAAAAGGTACTAAATTATAGTTAGGGGGTCATTTCTTTAAAAGCTTGCATGGTCCAATGACTTTCAACTTCAGTGTTTAAATTCAGTCATTTTAATAAGGAGCTATATTTTTACTTTCAAAACAGGGTATGCCAAAACTATGCTAATTTCTCAATTGAGGGTGCTTACGGTTTAAGCCTAGTAGTTTGCACCACATTAGCAAGGGTCTCACTGCCACCTGGTGGCAGTGTACCCCAAGTGCAGGATCAAGCTTGGAGGGGGGAGTGGAGGGGTAAGTCTTTTGAAAGTTGAGTCTGTGTGACCCTAAACATATAAAGAGACAATAAACGCCATTACAGTGAAGACGTTTGGGTAAAACAGATTTTCAAGGGTTAGTCAATTACAGAATCACTAACCTACTTAAACCTGTTCAATAATGGCCTCACTTTAAACAGAATTCAATCAACGCACCCAACTGGCCCAACAAAGGACTATGAGTATTCCTTTGGGATTGGGTTGTTATGGAATCTGGGCTACTTTGGCTCATGTGTTCCATATGAAATAGATCCAGGAGGATCTACTTCGTTATACCTGCTCAATATGATAAAAAAAAAAATTAGCTCTTTCAAGCGTTCTTAGGATCCTATGGATGTAAATGGATTCAAATAATGGAAACTACTTCTTCAAAAAGGAAACTTAAGAGAGGAAATTCCAGCATTTCTTAGGAAAGGGAAAAATGCAGGAAAGCACTGAGGGTGTCCAAGGGGGCTGTTCTCGCAGGCCTTAAAGAGTGCAGGCAGCTCCCGATTTGTCTTTGCCTCCAATCCCTCATGATGTGATGTGCCATTGGAGACTCCAAGCATTCCTCTCAAGTCTGGAGTTAGCAATTGCCAAATGTCAGGAAGAAACCCGAGGCAAGAGTAGGGAATAGGCAGCAACAGGACTCGAGCCAGTTAGGGCTAAAATCACCAACCCAATTAGCTGGGTTGCAGGGGGAATGTGCTTTTCTATACATGAATGTGCTATGTTTGTATTTTACAGTTTTTATGAGGATGTGTCTGCTCTCCCTTTCCTGGGTTGCTATGGCTAAAGGTGCTGGTGGCCAAGCTCCTAGAATGTAGAGAGGCGGGCAGTGTCTAGCAAAGGCACCAGGCTGGAAACCCTTCCAGCCAACCAGACGCTGCCAGGTCTGGCAACTAAAGGAATAATGATCACGTGCCCTTTCACAGACACTTGTTGAAGAGACCGTCTACCCCTTTCCAGCTGTTGTTGCCCGTGCGCCAGTGTTTGTGCTCAGCCATGTAATTGCTTCTCTAAGTTTCTAAATGAGAACATAATTTGCCCTTCAATAGAAAAAGACAAGTAGCTAATTACACCTGGAAATGGCTGCCATGACCTGGTAATAAACAAATCCGGTCTTTTATTGTTTAATTAACTGTCCCTTCACATGGGAGGTGTGGCTCAAAAGCAGGGATTCTTAACCTTTCTTGGGCCATGGACCTCTCCGGCAGTCAGGAGAACTCTATGACTCTCTCCCCTCCTCCAGGCTCATGTTTTTAAATACATAAAAATCGAATATATAGGGTCACAAAGGAAATCAATTACATTGCAATAGATAATCGAAATATTTTTAAAATACAAATTCACAGACCCTGGGCAAAGAATCCCTGCTCTAAAGGAACGTGACTGGTATTTTGTTGTAGTTGTTTTAACTAAGTGAACATTGTCCCTTTCAAAAGCGTTCCCTTGGGGTGAGCCATCCAGTCCAACAACGCCGCTATTGTGCCATATGTGTTATGGGACACTCTTTGGAAATTGCTATCAGAGACCATTCACGAGCCTGCCCAGCCTCGTTACTTCCTAGTCCCAGCTCAGTTATATAGATTGCTATATACAACAATTGCTATATAAACAAACCCATCAAAAATGGAGATCACTTGTCAGAACAGGGGCACACACATACCTATGTTAAATACCTTCTCTTCTTAATCATCTGCTTCATCCAGCTAAAAATGAAGAGCCCAAAAGAAAAGGCTGAGAAAGTCTCAGATAGTGTTGGAACTTACCGGTATATGGCCCAGCAGAGAAGAGACATTATCAGATACATAAATAATTATTCCCTCGGTGGTTAGGACAATCAGAAACTCATCCAATGCCTATTGAAGAGAGAAAACAGTATCACCCAAATGTATTTCTAGATGCAGTTACATAGTAGGACGACAATACTGTGTTAAGCTTTATTTCTTTATTTCAGCTTGGCCCCTCTGCTTCCAGGGTTTCTAGCACTTTCATGAGGCCTCTCTGAGACTCAGGGTAATGTGCAAGGCCCAATTCTAGGTGGTAGCAAGGGGAGGGGGAAGGTAAAAGGAAGATAACAGCAATTGGAAAGATGATTGGAAACAGTGTAAACAGAACTCATTTTATTCTTTGTACTTGTATCCCCAGTGCCTAGAACTGTGGCATATAGTAGGTACTTAATAAAAGCTTGGTGATTAATTGATTGATTGATTGGAAAAGTAAATGAAAAAGATTGCAAGTTCTTGGGTTTTTCCCTTAGTCCTAACCACATAGAAAATGGGTCGAGGACCCATCAGGAATAAATCAGAAGGCCTTCACAGATGCATGAAGGCCCATGTGTAAGCCAGGCAAAGCTTCAGGCCTGACTAAAATTCAAGAGCTGGAGTTAAGGGGATTAGCTCAGTGGCAGGTTGACTAGCTATCCCACTAAAAACTCTAGCTCTCTCCTGAGGGTTGAGCACAGTAGCTCTTGGAGTCAGTGGCAATGGCAGTTGCAGCAGCATGATAAGTGCTAGACACCTCCACGCTTTGGCAGGGGTGAGAGGCCAGGGCAATGCCGTAGAGAGGTGGGCGCAATGATGGAGTGCCGAAGTGAGAAGACATATGGGTATGGCAGGGAACCGGAGGACTGGAAGTGGAGACGGGACGAAGCAGCAACAGAAAGCAGAGCCACAGGGTGGCGAAGCAAACCTGGGCCTTGGCCTTTCCAGGTACCATGAGTTCTGACGACTGTGTAGGTCAGGGTGAGGAAGTCAGTGCTTGAGCAAACCACCAGTCCTTTGCCCCTAGGAATCTAGAGCAAGTGTATTGATCCCTGGGGAAAGTATAATGAGCAATCTATGGGAGGTAGGGGTGGGAGAGGGGGCTCAACTTCAGGGAAGCACTATAGGTGGAGTGATTGTATGGATACCTAGGGGTCAGGGAGCCCACCAGAAGAGAAAGTGTCCTGAGTGTCTATGGGCTCTGCTATGCTGTCTTTGTTGCATTTTAATAAGACCTGTCCTATGCTCCAGGCCTTGTTCGCCTCGAGTGTTTGCAAGAAAACCAACTATCCCGGGAACTAAAAAGAAGCCAAATCTTTCCATTCCCAGGGCCTAAGCCTTGGGTGGGAACAAACATGAACCACCCAGATTATTTTCAGGAATCCACCCCTTCCCGCCCCAGGTTGAAGCCAGTCTGTTAGAGGAGAGGAGTATAAGAACACCAAATGCCACAGACGTAGCACCTGAAGGTATAAATCACTAGAATGTTCTTAAGCTAGGCCTCAGATGTCATTGGTATAGGTGGGGAGCTACCACTGAGGACATTCCTTTGGAGGCAAAGCAACGCCCATTCCTCAACTTCTAAGTCTCTGAGAGCTGCCCTGGAGTCCACAGCCAGGGGGGCAGGGACAGGACTTGAACTCACGGCTTCCCGAGTTTTTAAGTACCAATTATACAGTATCAGGAAGTTAAGTTATATTCCTTATCTCTCAGCATGCACTAAACTTCACGTTAAGCAAGAGATTTGTAATAAATCTTGTGTCACTGCTCCCAACTATTCCCAAATAACATATTTTGCACCATCAACTCTGCAGTCCAAACTGAACAACTTTACCCTTGTGTTTAATTTTAGTTTTACCTTAACCCCCTTTTCAAAAAAACTGCTGGAAGGATTTCTGGATTTCTGAGGATATTTTTATTTAGAATTATTAAAAATCTTTAAGGCAAAAATTCCTAACTGCTACTAGTCAAAAGTGATTGTCTTAAATAGGAAGATCCCTGAGAGGTAGTGAGGCAATACTGGACAGAAGGTTGTCTAACCTTTCACTACCAGTTAGGTACTAAAAGCAGCTGGGTGGTGCAGTGTATAGGGCACTAGGCCTAGATTCAGGAAGACATTAGTTCAAATCCAGCCTCAGATACTTGCTAGCTGTGTGACCCTGGACAAGTCGCTTAGCTTCTGCCTTAGTTTCCCCATCTGTAAAATTGGCATCATAACAGCACCTACCTCATGGGGTTGTTGTGAGGATCGAAAGAGTTAAAATACGTAAAAGCACTTAGCACAGTACCAGCACATAGGGGATGCTTAATAAATGCATGTGCTTTCTTTCCTTCCTTCCAAAGGCAATGAGATAAATTGCTAATTAGCATCAGTGGAGAGAGTTTCCACACTGGAAATTCCCTACCCTGGGGAAATCACAGGTCCAGCTCCACAAAGGAACACACAGACATATGAATAAAGGTCCTCACGGAGCATGTGCAGTCATGGGGAGGGTCACTGTCCCTCCCTCCATTCACAGCCTTCTGGCAACCTTCCTACTGTGCTATTCCCATCTTCCCTATCTATGCATTTTTTCCCTTCCCAGCAATGTAGGCAAAAATTGAAACCCCTAGAGCCAATGCTTATGTTGCTGGGGAATGGAGTCAACAAGGATCATCAAGGAACCGGGCAGCTGGCAGCCTCTCCTTGCATCTCCCAGTCGCAACAGCCGTCCCTCATTACCGGCTCTGCTCTGCCTCAAGCAGATGGTGCAATCAGGAACGTGACATGAGGCCAAAGTTCCCTCAGAACAGATTCAAACGGGTCACTGCTGAAGCATGAGACCTCCACCCCTTCACCCCAGGCCCAGATTCCACCCCAACTCCATCTCTCCAGCTAGAAGCAGTTCTGAGGAGGGGAACATTGAATTTTCCCAAGAGATCTTGAAAGGTAGGAGCCGGGGGGGGGGGGGGGGCCGGGGGGGCGGCCAGTGAACTGGCCTGAGCTCTTCTGTTTTCTTCCTGCCCAGGCCTCCCCAGGAATCCTCCAAAAGGGGTTCATCCAACATGCTGGGGAAACCTCATCTAGACTTCTTGCCAGCTTGTGGCCACCAGTGAAGCATCAGGTATCCCCTGTGCTTTCTTACCCCGCACCCAGCCATCTAGCTCTCTGATGCTGTCCCTTCTGTCACTCTCCCAATATAACTCTTGGGTGGTGATATAAAAAGAATCACTCACAGAATCATAGAATTTCATAACTGGAAGGGTCCTCAATGGCCAACTGATCCAACCCACTGGGTGCAGACCCATAGGTCTCCAGCTCCTCATAATTACCATGGGCCGCTTCACTTCCATAGTAAACAGAAGCACACCAAAGTGGAAAAAGCCATTTGAGTTGTTGGGAAGTTACACCCAGGGGTGTTTTAACAACCAGCTCTCAGGGCAGGGGAGCGGAATACACACCACACGCTTTCCGGTTTAATCTGCATGAACAATTTCTCCATTACTTTCTTAAATCTAGGCAAGACAACAACAGAATCAACAACTCCTAATTTGGGATATTTTCTGATCTCTGAGGTGCAAATGCTCACAGTGAAATTTTCATTTAGCTCTCCCAAGTCAGTTCATGGCTTGAGCACAGTCCTGGATCCACAGAAATAAAGGCCTATAACCAAAGTGGGGCATTTACAGGCCACCCAAATGTCCTTAAATTAGTCCAAGTGGAAAAGTCACTTAGTGCCACACTCATCCTAGGTGCTTCATAAATGCTGGCTGAACTGGGTTGGATTGAGCACATCCGGTGGAGGCAAGGCCTACTTCTTGGGTTAGAGCAGACAAATGAGGCTGGTATTCACACACAGATCTAATAACTATATGCATTCTGAACCATTCTGGCAGTGGTGGACATCAGTTTGTAGCCATATCGTCTTAGTTTGGTTACTTACAACTTACAACTACTGGCCCATACATAGCCCAGATCTCTGATTCTTATGGCAGTGAAGCATAGCGGAAAGAACACTGGCTCTTGAGTCAAAGGGCATGTAATCAGATCCTGCCTTTGATACTTACTAGCTGTATGACCTTGGGCAAGTCACTTAATCTCCAGAGGCCTCAGTTTCCTCATTTGTAAAATGAGGAGATTGCACTGGCTGGCCTCTGAGGTCTCTTCTAGCTCTAGTATCTCTGATCTGATGGCTGACCAAGGTTAGGAGTATACTCTGTGACACTCTCCTCTACACAGCTGGCCTGATGCAAAACCCCACTTTGGAGCCCAAGGAGGATGTGCGAGCTTACATGATCAAGGCTGGCTCTGTACACTGATTGAATCCCCTAGGTAATCACTAAACTCCTCACAACTTGGCCGAAACTTCCCGTTCCTATCCCAGTGACAAGGTCTATTGTATATCTTCCATGCACAATGCACACACATTTTAGATGGTTTCTTACCTCAAATATCAACTGTGTAAATTCCTCATTGCTAAGAATTGATGGTTTCCAGGCCCCTCTGGCACCAGCAGCTTGTTCCTGGGTTTCCTTTTCTTAAAAGGAGAAAGAAGCAAGGAAAGAGAAAAGATGGAAATGACTACAGGGAATATCTCCCCTTTTTCCAAAGTTACAATCCATTTTGGAGCAGAGCCTCCTGTAAAATCATGCTGAGGTTTTATGGTAGCTAATTGCTTGGCACTTGAATCCACCCAAAGGAAGCGTTTCAGTCTATTGTCACTCTTATTGAAGACAAAGCTTCCCCCCTAATATGCCTCTTTGAAGTTGGGTTCACACCAAGCTTGGCCAGTTCATATCAAGAGTTTGCCCACCAATTAACCACCTCTTTGGGATACAGCAGCTCCAGAAGAGAGTAGAAGGTATCTGTACACCAACCAAATCATGGATTCTGGAAGTACCAGAGTAAGTATGGCATCCAAGAAAGTCAACGTGGATCCCTCCCCTCTGTGCGGCGTGTGGCCTTAGCCTACATAAGATATTGGTAGGTTACTTACTTAATAGGCTGGGAACCAGATGTCCCTTAGTAACAATTAGCAACTGCCTTTAAAAAAGACCATCTCAGATGCAAAATTTTCCTGGCTTATAGCAGCATGGAATAGTGAGCCAGCCTCAGAGACAGGAGGATTTGGGTTCAAGTCCTGCCTCTGCCATATACTGTTTATGTGACCCTGGGCAAGTCACTTAACCTTTTGTTGTCCCAAGTTCTCTCTAAGATTCTTACGTTGCAGAGAGGTGCCAATGTGTAATAGGAGAGGGAGTTTCCTCACTGGGAGTATCCTTCCCTCATGAAATCCTAGGGCCGGATTAAAAACAACAACAACAAAAAATTCCTTATACCAGCTTAGCAAATTAAACCAAAACCAAACTGGTATTGCATTTAAACACTCTGGACATATTAAAAAACAGCCCCCCTTGGGGGCAGTTAGGTGGCGCTGTGGATAAGCTCCAGCCTTGGAGTCAGGAGGACCTGAGTTCAAATCCAGACACATGACACTAGCTGTGTGACCCTGGGCAAATCACTGAACCTCAATTGCCTCACCAAAACAAACAAACAAAAAAACCCAGCCCCCCTGCCTATAGCTCTACTTTAAGGAAAAGAGGGGATCATAGACTTAAAGATAGAAGGGGTCTTAGAGATAATTTGGTTCAACCCCCTCATTTTACAGATGAAGAAAACAAGGCCCAAGAAGTTTAAGTAGCAGAGCCAGGAGTCAAACCCAGGTCCTTTGATACCAAACTTGGGGCTTTACTACACTATAGCAAAGGAATCAGTGCTTAAAGCCACAGTGCATTAAGTGGGTACATCTGGCCTAAAAAGGGCACTTTCTGAAGTAAGCACGGGCCAACTCTGTCAGAATCAGGCCTCGTATAATGTTTAAAGGCCAGAATGGATACTGACCACTTCCTCATCCCCAAATCCTGTAGGTAGGTGATAAAATGTGGGGCTGAGCTCTTGTCTCTGGTTGACCCACTAGTGTTGATCCATGTATGAACTTGAAAAACTACAGGCTACCATTCTCAAGCTTCAATGATCCTGAGGGATAGCTCCAATGTTGCCATTAGTAAACCTCAATATATTCCTTATGTGGCTACTTCCCTACTCCCTTGGCTCAGAAAATACCCAATCAAAATGGCAGCCCAATAGCTACCATCTGGCTATAAAAGTTGTCTAGATAAATGGGAAAATTGGGAACAAGTAGTAGGTTTTCATGGCCTTGGACTTCTTACCCAGGAAAAGTCTCTCATGCATGCATTGTCAATTTCATAATATCATGGAATGGTAAAAGCTAGAAGGCTCTATAGGAACCATCTAGTTCAATCTTTTCATCTTATAGAAGAGGAAACCGAGGCTCACAGGAATGAAGTGACTTGCCCAGGGTCACAGGGTGAGTTAGTGGAAGGGATGGGACTAGAACCTAGGCCTCCAGACCTAGCTCAATTTTCTTTCACCCAACTTTCCAATTCACTGCATTTCTCTATCTTTAGAAGCAAAGAATAATGTATTCCCTCCAACAACACTTGTTAAATGTCTCACTGGAAAAAGATTCTGTGACCTTTTCAGTGTTCAATTCTGCTTACCTCTAAATGTACCACTAAATTAATAGTTCCCCCATGCTGCCCTTTTAACAAAGGATTAAAATCCCCAAATTGCTTGTAGTCTAACCTAATTATTCCATTACTACCTCTTAGATAAATACAAGTGGAAGGTTGTGGCAGCAGCAGAGATGAGATTTTGCCCAGTTATGCTTCTAATTATTTCCACTTTATTTTTCTTCTTTTGCATTGATTACAATGACATTTAAGAACCTGTCACAAACAAACCGCTGCAACCGAGAATGCTAGAGTCTAAGAGCTGGACGAGACCATTAGAGGCCTCCCTGGCCTGACTGCTTCCCACCCCCGGAATATACTCCTGGGAGAATGACCGGCACAACTAGACTGCCTAGAATGTATTTTCATATTGGAAATGGAAAACCACAAGCCTGGCACCAGGTCCCCCCAAAGGTACCTTTCTGCTTGCGTAAAAAGTCAATGGTCTTCTGTAATATGGTAGCCTTATCCATCTTGATGGGCTGGCCTTCTCCCTGAACCAAGCTGCAAAGCTCTTGAATGAGAACATTGAACTGATCTCTCCTTTTCTTTTCTGACTTGTTCCGGGATGCCCTGGTTAAAGAAAATACAAAGGCGTCACCAGTAAATGTGGTGCTAGCGATTCAGAGAGAAGGCACTGGCTGGGGAAGCAAAGTGACAGGAATAAGGTGGTGACTCACTCTGGGGTGGGGGGAGGGTTAACATTTGAGCAACTGCCATCTATCTTATCCATTCATTCTCTGACATACCATAGCTGACATTCCAAATTTCCTGGAAGCCATTTCATGGCCTCTGTTCCATCATGTTGTCTTAGCAGCCACCTAAAGATCATATCACACAACACACTCCATCTAGCTATCACTATATCCTAGAAATGATTAAAAAGGGGGCTGTATGAAAGGCAACACTAAAGGAATTTAGAAAGAAGGCTGAACTGGAAGTGCGTGCGCACGCGCGCACACACACACACACATGCACACATATGTCTAAGCAGTATTTACTTGTTGATCCATGAACCTGAATCTGTTTGAGCACTTTGGACTGGCTAAATAGGCCTCCAGGCCCAAGCAGCAATCTCATGAATGAAAAGGCTAGTGAAGCTTATTTTAGAATTGTACTTTTCATACCTCTTTAACCTGTCCTTCTCTTCTTCATCCATCACTTCTTTTAAGCAACTAGGTTCTGAAATCAAAACAGAGCAATATTTTATTGAGTTCTTCAGTTTTTATTTTCTTGGTAGTGACTAAGAGTTAAGTGATATGACTAATTGTACCCTTTACTTACCAAACATTTTTTTCCTGCAAGGAATTCTAAGTGCTTTTCAGAGTGTGATGACATCAAACTCCATTAAACCACTAATGTGGTGTGTGGATGGGCAACTAATCTTAGGTACTTTATTGTGAAAGCCTCACTCAATATCTATAATAATCCATTACAAATGTATGTATTTGCAAGGCTTTTAAAAGGCCATTCAGTGCAGGTACACAACTTCTCTTAACTTGAGAAATAAACTCATTGTCAGCCTGGTCTCTTAAATGAGTTTAACTCCTACTATCTTCAACAGAAGTTAAGTAAGCAGAGGGAGTTGGGAAATGACCAGTTTGTTCCAAGTGATTGACCCTCCAAAAGAAAGAAGGTGAGCGATGCAATAAAGATGGGAATGGAACCAGTTAACTGAAGGGCAGGGGTGAGTTGGAAGCTAGTTTCTCTGATGAAAGTCCAAGATAAAGAAGGAATGAATTCAAACTTTTAAGTATAAGAGCCATTCCCTAATCGGTAAATGGTCAAAGGATAAACAGTTAATTTTCAAAGAATGAAATCCAAGCCATCAAAAATCATGAAAAACTACTCCGAACCACAAATAATTAGAGAACTGTAAATTAAAGCATATCTGAGGTTCTACCCCACACCCATCAGATGGGCAAAGCTGACCAAAAGAAGGAAAAGAAAAATGATGGAGGAATTGAAGGAAAACAGGTACAGGGATGCATTGTTGGTGGAACTGGGAATTGGTCCAGTCATTCTGGAAAGCAATTGGGAACTATGCCCCCAAAGTCACTTACCAGCAAGACCACTATTGAGTCCTTACCCCAATGAGATCAAAGAAATATGAAAAGAACCTAGGTATACACAAATATTTATAGCAGTTCTTTTTGTGGTAGCAAAAATCTGGAAACTAAGGGGGATGCCTATCAACTGGGGAATGGCTAAACAATTATTACATATGAATGTAATGGAATACTATTATACTTTAAAAAATAATGAAAGGAATGGTTTCAGAGAAACCTGGGAACTGATGCAAAGTGAGGTGAAGAGAAACGGGAGAGCAATTTATATAATATCGACATCGTAAAGACAAACAATTCTGAAAGATTTAAGGACACTGATCAATGCAACAACAAACCACAATTCCAGAGGACTAGCGAGCAAACAGGTTACCCGCTTCCTGACCCAGAGGTCGTGAACCCAGAGTACCTAGTAAGACATGCATTTTTAGACACAGCCAATGTGGGGATTTGTTTTGCTTGACTGTGTATATTTGTTACAAGGGTTTAGTTTTTCTTTTTTTTTCCCCAGTGGAGGGGAGGGAAGGGAGGTGGCAGCAGGAGGGAGAAAATAAATGGTTCAGATAACCTCTAAAACGGGGGGAGGGGACAGCTAGGTGGTATAGCTGCTAGAGCACTGGGCTTAGAGTCAGGAGGACCTGAGTTCAAATCTGGCCTCAGACACTTATTAGCTTCGTGACCCTGGGCAAGTCACTTAACCCCAATTGCCTCCAAAGGAAAAAAAAAGAAATGCCCATTAATTGAAAAAAATTAATTAAGTGAGTTCAAGGCTTATTAATGCTTTTCCAGGTATCTGAAGGAACTTGAAACTTAAGAAACAAAGGTTCTTTTTCTACTCAGCTTCTGACCTACTTTCATTTACTAAAGGGTCTAAAGGTCAAGCCTAAAGGTGAAAATAAATATTAAAGACAAGTAAGAGAATTCCTGTGTGCAGAGAGAAAGCTGGAAAGGAGATGGACCTTTATCTCTCTCTTTCCCTCCTCATACACTTGGCCACTTGCATCCTAGCCACTTGCACACATGTCTAAGCCCTCCATACAAACACATAAGCTCCTCGGGGGGTTAGGATGAGACCTAATTCGTCATCCTAGACTGTAAGCTCCTTGAGGGCAGGGCCTGGCTTTTGCCTCTTTTTGTATCCCCAGCCCTTAGCATGGTGCCTGGCACACAGCAGGCGCTTAGTAAGTGTTTAGTGAATGAATGAACGGACTACCTACCACAAGGCCTTGCTCGTACACAGTAGGTACTATTCAATACATGTCACTAAATAGAAAAAAAATAGCTTACAGAACACCAGCAAGTGCCAATGCTAGGTAAAGATCTTGATCTTCCTACAGCAAAGCTCTCTTTGGTAGGTAAAGAAGATGTGGGATTAATCTAAAATAATGTAGCAGATCTGGAAAGTCATGGAGTCTGACACCCCCCCTCCACCATTTTACAGAGAGAGACATCCAAAATGAGGAAGTGAGCGGCAGGATGAAGATTCGAAGCCAGTCCTCCTGATTCCACTGCACTATGGCGAGGAAGCTACCATGATTATGAATCTAGAAAAAAGGAGGAGAAATGGAGCACCCAACATTGCAGGTGAGGTAGCAGGCAGCTCACCTCCTCTCTCCTGCAGGGCTCATTAAGTGCTGAGGTCTCTCGTCCAATGCAATTGATCCCAGGCAGGAAGGGGGTGCTCCAACTCTTATCCCTCCCGCCCTCGACTTCAGATGGGGGAATCACTGAGGAGGGAAATGTACACCCTTTCTCTTCCCCCTCCAGGTTACTGGGGTACCCTTCACTTCTCCAGTGCTGATCTCTATTAGCTGACAATGCTCTCACCCTTGGGATGATGGGAAGCCATCTGCTGGATTTGGAAAATCCCAGTGCTGCCAACATAAGTAAAGAAAGACTCCCAGAAGGAGGCTCTGGGCTTGCTGCCCACTGGGGGGATAGGAACCACTAGACTGACCTTTTTCAGCAAGCTGGATGAGAATACAAGGCTCGCTGCTAGCAAGGACCGGGACACCAAGGTGGGTGCCATGGGCAGAGCAGACCTGTTTGGAATCAGTGTCCTAGCAGACCAGCTGAAGCCCAAAACTGCCTGCCTACCATGCTTCCTTCCAACTTAATGCCTGACAAACTGGAAAATGGCACACTGAAAAGAGGAGCTGGAAATTACTCCGCAGAAAAATTAAAAACAGAACCACAACAAAATTTACATTAAAAAGGTAATCTTTTTTCCCCACGCTAGTCTTAATTCATGGGGAGAAGGCGATGCAGACCACGATCTGGAAATGAGCACCCAGAGATGCAATGCACTACTGAGCTGCCTGCCTGCAAAGCTCCCTGACCTTTCCTTCCCAGAGTAATTGGAGACGGCCACTGGCCATCACACGCTCTCCACCGAGAAGGCTGAACAATAAAGAGCTGATTCCTCAACCAACTTTCTCTAACCTGGATGGCTGATTCTTTTTGTACTTCACACGAAAAGCTCTGGAAGGAATTTCCCATGGAGGATCTGCCTTCTGCTTCTTAAAACTTGCCTTTTTATTCGCAAGCTATCATCCTCATTACGCTCAGCTTGGCTGGGAGTACCTGAGGTGCCCATGCCCCTTACCCTGGGAGCTGCAGTGTTTACATTTAATTAACCAGGAGAGACAGAGACAGAGACAGACAGAGATAAAGACAGAGAGAGAGAGACAGACAGACAGACAGAAAGACAGGAAGACAGAAAGAAAGATGGAAAGACAGAGACAGAGAGAATGAGATAGAGGGGGAGACAGAGAGACGGACAGAGACAGAAAGAGAGAGACACAGAGAAACAGAGACAGAGAAAGAGAGACAGAAACAGAGACAGAAAGAGGAGTGATAGAGAGGCAGAGATACAAAAGAGACAGAGAGACAGAGGCACCAGAGAGACAGAGAGGGTGACAGACAGTCAGATAGAGACACAACAAGACAGCCAGAGAGAGAGTGACAGAAAGAAAACCAGCGGGCCAGAGATGGCCTGCTGTCCCTGCAAAGTCTACCTGGTGGCTTAGTCTCCTTGGATGTGGACTGGCCTGCTTCCAGGACACTAGACAACCCAGCCTGCTCCTCACTTTCTCTCATGTTGGTCAATGGCATGGTCTGTACTCTTTTCTCTTGTACCTATTAAGAAAAGAAAACAGAGAGTTATGTAAATGGTAGTAGCAGTAGCTATATCTGGGAGAGTGATTTGCACATTGTATGTGGTTATTAAATACCTGTCAAGTCACTGAATGGACAATACACAGATACAAACACTGCACTTTAAAGATGCTGGCATATAATAACAATAATAGTAGTAGTAGTAGTAGTAGTAGTAGTAGTAGTAGTAGTAGTAGCAGCAGCAGCAGCAGCCAACAGCAGCAGCAGTAGTAGCATGCACTTATTTAGCATCTACTATATGCCAGGCACTGTGCTAAGCACTTAACAAATATCTCATTTAATCCTCAAAACAAACCTGGAAGGTTGGAGTTATCCCCATTTTACAGATGAGGAAACTGAGGCAAACAGGGGTTAAGTGTTAAGAAAAATTCTTTCTGCTCATGTGCTCCTTTGGCCTGGTTGTTTTACAAACAAGACCCTCCATCTCTCAGCTCTGGGCATTCTCTCCGAATGTCCCCCACACCTAGATCGCTCTCTCTCCTCCTCTTCAACTACTGATCTCCCTGGCTTCCTTTGTTTTATTTAGTCATTTCAGTCCTGTCTGACGCTTTGTGACCCTATTTGGGGTTTTCTTGGCATAGATAGTGGAGTGGTTTGCCATTTCCTTCTCCGGCTCATTTTACAGATGAGGAAATTGAGGCAACCAGGGTTAAGTCACTTGCCCAGGGTCACACAGCTAGTAACCATCTGAGGCCAGATTTGAACTCAGGTTCAAAGATGAGTCTTCCTGACGCCAGGCCCAGTGCTCTATCCCCTACACCACCTGGCTTCCTTTAAGTCCCAGCTAAAATCCCACCTCCTACACAAAGCTTTCCCCAAGCCCTCTTAATTCCAGTGCCTTCCCTCTGTTAATTATTTCCTATTTATCCTGTATATGGCTTGTTTGTATACATCTGTTTGTATGTTGTCTCTCCCACAAGATTGTAAGCTCCTTGAGGGCAGGGACTGTCTTTAGCTCCTTTTTGTATCCCCATTGCTTAGCACCATGCCTGGCACACAGTAGGCATTTAGTAAATGTTTATTGATTGATCCATACTTATGAATAATATTTTCCATACAAAACTGTCAGATTAATGGCATACGTTTCTAAACACAGGACAATCAACTCAGCTAGGCGAGACCTTAGAGGTATTTTAGGCCAAGTCCCTTAGTTTACAGATGAGGAAACTGAGACCCTGAGAGTTAAGTCACTATTCCAAGATCACACACGTGATCTAAGTGGCAGAGTCAATCACTTGGGTGATCAAAATATTTGGGTATCTCTAAAATCACAAATCTATCATTTCGGGCAGGGGCCCTTAACCTTTTTGTTTGTCACGGACCAGTTTGGTGAAGCCTATTGGCCTCTGCCCAAAATAATATTTTAAATGCATAAAACAAAAATATGTAAGAACACAAAAAAAGACCAGATTACACTGAATACAGATGTCAGCTTTTAAAAGCAAACAAACTCAGGTTCATGGACCCCCTAAATCCCTGATTTAGGGATGTTAGCCCTTCTTCTGACAGTATGCTTTTGGGAATTTTGGGGTGACTAGACTTAACTAGATTATAAGCAAATCACAGGTAAGAAAGAGCCATATCTTCTATTTTGAAGCACCTTAGCTCTTGCCCATAGTAAACACTCAAAGACTGGTTAACTCCCCGAATAATTTTTTTCTCCCACTGGAAAAAAAGGATTCCCAAAACTAAACTCACTCCAGCCACCCTCCATGTGCTAATCTCTTTCGAGAGAAAACAATCAGAGAGAAACTACTCATAGAAAAGGCATTAAAAACCTAAAAGAGGTCGTGGGTCGGTACTATCAGATATTCCTAAGTGCTCAGCACTGCTATGTGCAAACTAACATTTAATTAGAACAGTATAATTTTAAATCGAACAATGAGAAAGCTTAAAAAGCCCTGGCTCCCACAATGCGATATTATTAAAAGATAATCACAAGCCCCCTCTGCTCCTGTCCCCGTCTGATACCTCTTTGTGATTGTAGGGCTGATTCTGGGCATCATGTCCAGGCCTGGGGATGGCCTCTGTCATTAGCAACCAGTACGGTTAAGTTCAACAAGAAGCTTCATGCCAGAAGGTTGGGGTCAGGGTAACTCTTTATAAAGCCAATTAACCTGCACTGCCTACCTCATAAGGCTGGTGTGGGTGATGTGCTTTGGAAACTCTCACACCCTATAGATCAAAGCCCTGCTGTATCAATGGGTGGAGTGCCCACATTCACAAAAATCATACATCTTTTAACATACTGAAAAAGTATGGGAAGGCTCAAAATCACCTTTGAAAGGGACTCATTTGAGTTTTTCATTTTGTTTTTATTTTTATGCCTTTTTGTTTTGGTCTTTCAATTTTCTGGAACATTTTCCCTTCATAAGTCAAGACCAAATACAGAGAGGGAAAAAATGGGCTAAGGGAATGGAAGATGAGATCATTTCATAATTAGCAACTGGATTTCTTTATTTCAGATTTAATCACTCAGACATGGTTAACTTGGTCCGTTGTGATGAGATGTATAATCAAAATGTAATTGAGATAAGGTGTATCATCAGAGAAGTCTCCACTCTTAATCCCTCTGTTTCAGCACTGCCAGGACATAAGCCTAACAAGCCAGGCCTCAGACTGAGGAGGATCTACTCTGGACACTTGCTGAGCAAATCCCTGGGACTTCTCCTGAGGCTCCTATGGCATCCTATCTTGGCTTCCACCAAAGGCCCAAAGTAGTCAAACAATCTATATAAGATATATCCAGGCGCATCTAGTTAGACAGACAAAATTCTCAACACTTAAAGATGTCAAAGGCTCAGTGATGAATTAAGCTAATTCAAATAACAAGCATTTATGAAGGACATACTGTGTGCCGGACATTGTGCTAAATGTCCTTACAAATATTATCTCATTTGATCCTCACAACAACCCTGAGAGGTAGGTGCTATTATTATCCCCATTTAATTTTTTTTATAGATCATTTCTTTTTTTTAATTTATTTTGATTTAGCAATAATCACTTCCATATGCTTTTGAGTTTAAAATTTTTCTTCCCCTTCCTCCCCACCACCCTCCCCAAGACAGTGTACAATCTGATACAGGCTATACATTTACATTCATATTAAACATATTTGCACATTAGTGATGTAAGTAAAAATTAAAACCAGTAAGAGGAACCATCAGAAAGAGGAAATAAAACTCAACAGAAGAGAAAAAAAAATATCATCCCCACTTTACAGCAAGGAAACCGAGGCAAACAGCATTGCATTGACTTGCCCAGGGTCACACAGCTAGTAAGTGTCTAAGGTCACATTTGAACTCAGGTCTTCCTGACTCCAGACCCAGTGTTCTATCCACCATGTCAGTAAGCCCACTAGATTGATGTTCCAGGCCTCACTGGTTAGGCAACTACCTAGGACTATTTGTGGGGATTATATTATACCCTGTGGCTAGCTGGCACACTGATTAACTGCCAGGCCTGGAGTCAGGGGTTTAGGGGTCCTGGGACCCCAAAATCACAACACACAGGTCCTGCCCGAAAGAATTTGACCTAAGCCTTCTTTCAGCCAAAGACAAGGTTTATTAGAACATCCATTATATTGGGCAGACTCTTAAGGAGTCTGAACATTAGTAAACTATTGACCAGATTATAAGAATCTGACCAGTGGCTAGATTATAAGAATCCCAGCAGGGGCTAGATTTTAAGAATCTAAGCCCAGGCCTGGAGCCAGGTACAGTGCCTGGAACATAGTAGGTGCTCATTCGTTATTTATTATTATTATAGTTATAATTATTATCCGGGATGGGTGGAAACCAGAATGATTCATGAGAGAACAGCAAGACTCTGGTTCGCCCTGGAGCTAACTTTACTGGAGTAGCTAATATTCTTGGATGATTGTACTAGATAGATTCTCTCTCCTTCTCAACCTCAATTGAAGAGAAAAAAAAGGAGCATGTTTCAATTAGTTGTTCGGGGACTATTATAACAACAATTTTAATATTAAAACACATTAAATATATAAAAAGAAATGTATTAATGATTCACAAATTCAACACAAATTAAAATGAACATTTGGAATTGTTAACTCATTCACTTTTTCTGCAGAAAGTTGAATTTCAGCAAGGTTTTATGTGCTTCACATCTCCCTCTGCAGCATCCTACATTAAACAATGGAATAATGACTGGACTGGTGAGGGTTAACAAAGACAATTAAAGATAACAGAAGGGGGAAGGGTTATTTGAGAGAAAACAAGAAGGCCCCAAAGCGACGGGATCACTGCTCAGGATACGTAGGACAATGATAAAGGAAGACGGAGAGATGACCCAACTGTTCAGGTTTGATTTTCCTTCTGATTTCTCTGCCGATGGTCTTTGGACCAGAAAGGACAGGAAGAAAAGGTTGCTATGAAGCTGATGACTAAGATAAGGAGAGAGATAATAAGAGAGCCCCATGCTTCTTGAGATGAGTTCAGAAAAGCAGGCCCAGAGGATCACCATCCCACAGTATTGAAAGGACACCTGGATATGATTACTGAACACTGTCAGTGATCTTTGAAGAAGTATGGTGACGGGCGAAGCAGTACAGGACTAGAGAAGGGCTTGGCTCTCATTTGTATAAAAAAAAGGGAGTGTGGGGGTGGGGCGAGTGATAGTTTGCAAACCACAGGCTACACAGCTTATCCTTGATTCCTGGCAAAATTATGTAAGTGGGGATCTCAAAGCACCAACTTAAATTCAAAAATAGGTAATGAGAAACTAATTCCCCATTTTTTTTAAGTCTAGCTTTGTGGGGTGTGAGCAATACCATTCAAATGCATTTGAGAATAACCAGGCTAACCCTTTATTCCTCCATACTACTAGCTCATTTTATTAATTCCCTCCAGGATAAAGACATTCTAATAGGTATAGCCTGAAACAATCTCAGAAATTACCCAAATTCTCAAAATTCTCTAACCGGTTTGGCCTTCAACCTGGAATAAAATTAGGAAAATTTCTTCTCCCATGAGATTGTTTCCCCTCTCTAACTCTCAAATTACAAACTTATACACTGAGTCAAAAATTTAATGGCTATTCAATTTATTAGCGGTATCAACAGCATTAAAAAATACAAAACAAAAAATGAAATTTTCAAGCAAGTTATGGAGGACTACAATGAGGCTTGAAGCCAGGGTCACCTCTTTCTCTGGGGTAGGGGGAAAGGCCAGAGTCCGTTACTAAAGAAAGGAAATAAGCCTGAAGCTCTAAATGAACTTTTCCCAGTACTGTACTTTGGGGAAAGCAGAGAGAATAATGGAAGTAAAATAGACATCACTCCCACCAAGTGTCCCAACTACAAAATAGGCCCAAACTCAGTTGCAGTCCCCAAAGTCCCACCATACCTGTGGTTTCTCCTTCTGCTCTCCTGTGGCACTCATCACTTCAAATTGCCTCGGCCTCTTCCGTCTCGTATCTCAAAAGTCAAGCAAGTGTCCTTTCCACAAGGACACCGAAACCGCAAATGAGCTGAGTTCTCCTGAACGCCTCTTTACAATCTAGCCCAAGGCTTCTGCACAGACCAAGGCGGATCTTTTAAAATCTCTGCGAGCGTGGGAAGGTCTTCCAAAGACTTTATGACCCTGCGTCTCAGCAACATGGGGCTTCAACAAGTTGTAAGACAAGTGGTTAAACGGTATGCCATAGATACAATTTACCTAGATTCTAGCAAAACTTCAGCGTCACAAAAAAACATCTTGCAATTCTTAAGGGAAAAGTACAGTCGGACCTGTTTGAATGGTTATTAATGATTCAAGGTCAACTTGAGAATGGACAGAGTGTCCTAGGGTTTTGTGCTGTTTACTGCTTTTAACGATAACTCGGAGAAAAGTATACAATTGCAAAATTATCAGATTTGCAGCCGGTATCAAGCTGAGAAGTACAGCTAACACACTGGATGATAATACACTTGGATCAAAACAATGGTCCAAAAACATATCAACAGACTAGACTGTTGGGCCAAATCTAATAAGATTAATTGGAACAGTTCTTAGATTTAAGTTTGGTTTTTAAAAAAATCAACTGTGCAAGTACAAGGGTGTGTCTAATTTGTCTTCCCCATTAGAATGGGAACTCCTTGAGGACTGGGATTATATTTTTCCTTTTTTTTTTAAAGGCAGTTGGGGTTAAGTGACTTGCCCAGGGGCACAGAGCTAGTAAGTGTCAAGTGTTTGGCTTGAGGCTGGATTTGAACTCAGGTCTTCCTGACTTCAGGGCCGGTGCTCTATCCACTGCACCACCTAGCTGCCCCAAGGAACTTGATTTTGCCTAAAATAAAGGAGACAGTCATGGAAAAACTGAACCAAATGAAAGATGGCTTTAAAAAAAATAAAGATTCAGTAATCCCAGCCATAGTTCTGTAGGGGAATGCAGCAAATGAAACATAGCAAACATGAACAAAAAAATCTTCTATGGTACTGAACTACCCTGAAATGTCTAAGAGGTCTTGTATGTCCAACAGGAGGATAAACATTTATCAGGGCAGTAAGTGCCTTAATTCTGAAACTGGTTTCCCTCAACAAATTCATCAATAAAAGCATTTCAGTTAATTCAGCACATTCTGCACAATTAAGGCAAGATTTCTTTGCTATCATGTAAAGGCTTGGGCATGGTTTCTGACCTCCTGGGTCAAGCCCAAACTGGGTGGGAGGTTGAGGTGAAATAAAACAATGCTGTGAGTAACCCTGGGAATATTGGCTACCATACCAAGCTTGCTACATTCTGCTCACAAACTAGTTTTAAAAGAACAGAGAGAAATAGAAAAAAGACAAACATGTTTTAGCACAACAGGAGCAAGTTAAAAAAACTAGTGTTTGCTGATGTGATATTCCCAGTTCTATCTTGAAGCAAATTGAAAAGGCAAATGGTAAGTGTGGAAGGGTATTGTTTGTACCCTGAGGAAGGGAAGAGGTGTATAAAATTCAGTTGCCCTACATTGAAAGGTCTGCACAGCCACCCAAAGGACCCCTGGGGGAGGGCAGTCCAGCTGTGTGCCTAACAAGAGCTAAAATCAAATAAAGTAGCTAAAGGCATGGCAGACCTGGCTATCTCACTGGCAGAGCTATGGAACTTTCTGGAAGCAACAGACTGAGGAGGCAACATACTGTGGGTAGGGGCAGCAGGAGCAGAGTAAAGGTGTACGTAGGGCTTCTCAAACCTGCAGATGCAGGAGGCAGAACTTAGAAATAATGAATCACAGAGCTATAAAAAGAGGGGAGCAGGTGATGAGGGGTCTACTGTGTGGAGCAGAAAGAACACAGGGTCAAAGGGCCTACCATGTCTGTGACCTTGAGCAAGTCACTTTCCCTGTCAGGGCCTGGACTACAAGGTCTCTGAGATCCCTTCCAACTCGAAATCTGTGCTTCTAGTGGACTTGGAGTCTTGGCTTATTTTGTGTCATAGACCCCTTAGGCAGTGTAATGAAGCCTGGGGACCTCTTGTCAGAATCATGTTTTTAAATGCATGAAATAAAACATAGGATTACAAAGGAAACTAATCATATTTGAAATAGTTACCAAAATATTAAGAAAAAAGGGTTCATAGACCACAGATTAAGAACTCCTGGTCTAAGGGAAGAAGCCAATTCTTTAAGTGACCAGTTTCATACCTCATTTATGAGGACCTAAACACTGAGGTGATATTATTAGCTTGTAAAGACTGTATACAGGTCCCTGGGGGAAGGGAAAGATTTCGTGAGTTTCTGTGAGTTTCCATATGAGTCTCTTCCTGTATTCTCTGTTGTGTGTACTAAATTTGTCCAGTGTTCTATGCCTTGTCATCTTGGTGCTTGTAAGTAAAATGTGGACACCTGTTGTTGTTCAGTCACGTCTGACTCTTCGTGACCCCAATAGGGTTTTCTTGGCAGAGATAATGGAGTGGTTTGTCATTTCCTTCTCCAGCTCATTTTACAGATGAGGAAACTGAGGCAAACAGGGTGAAGTGACTTGCCCAGGGTCACACAGCTGGGAACTCATGAGGATGAGTCTTCCTGATTCCAAAACTAGCATTCTGTCCATCGTGCCACCTAGCTGCCTTATGGACACCTAGATGAGAACTAGAAATGAATGAAATTCTGATATTTCTCTTGGTTTGTGTGAGCCAAATACAGTGATTATACACATATGTAAAACAAAAAAAAAATACAATACAAAGAAGTCCCTAAATCTTCACTTGGGTGGGTATGAAACCAAGGCTTTCAATGATGGGCTACAGGTTATATCTGGGGATCATAGATCTGGGGATCTTGCCTGCCCTAGTGTTTGTAAGGGATCAGTGGTGCACCTCTAATGAAGGCATCCCATCCTAGACCTCTAAAATATCAATGCAGCCTACACTTTAGAACAACAACAACAATATTTCTTTAAAACAGGCCAGGCAGGCTCCCAGGACATAACTGAATTTGCTACGAGCTCTTCTCTCTCATGGGGGCAGCTAGGTGGTGCAGTGGATAGAGTACCAGGCCTGGAATCAGGAAGACTCATTTTCTTGAATATAAATCTGGCCTCAGCCACTTGCTGTGTGACCTTGGGCAAGTCACTTCACCCTCTTTGCCTCAGTTTCCTCAACTGTAAAATAAGCTAGAGAAGGAAATGGCAAACCACTCCAGTATATTTGCCAAGAAAACCCCAAATGGGGTCACAAAGAGCCAGACAGGACTGAAACAAAAACAACAACTTCTCTACCATGACAGGCCATATTCAAACCATGGGGATTCTCAGTGTTGAATCACCTCTATTTTTCATTTTGCCCCAACCTAGATACCTCAGGTTAACTTCTACAGTTAATTCACATTTAAGGCATTCCGTTCCATGCCTACTAGCAAACCAATTAAGTTAAGAAACATAAGCCATTTATGCAGGACAGAAATTAACCATAAAACAATGGAAAATCACCACAGCTCACATTCTGGTGAGTATAGGCTCATTCTGTTTCCCCAGGAGTAACTGAAGCCTCAAACCTATACGAAAACTCACAACTCCAATATGGGAAGGCTTGGTTCTGCCTGGGGAAGGAGGGCTGTGTCAAGGGTCTGGAAACATAAGTGATGGCCATGTTTGAATCCCTGCTGTGATCCCCAGCCAGTTTCTGCAGCTTACCACGGCCACATAGCTAGGATGTCTCATCCAGGGGAAGTACATGTTTGGAAATGAAGGTAATAGAAAAGCAAAATATGCCAATAAAACACTTTTTAATAAATATATTTTAAAATTGTGTCACTACCAGCATTGATTGTTTCTGGGTGTGCCTGGTCTGGCTCAGCTGCTGGTCTTTTCTCTCTTCTTTGATGTCATTTCTATCTCTTCAGCCAGCATATCAGATATGGAGGTGTTAGGAGTCCAAATGGGATGGCTACGCTATCAGTGATTTTGAGAAGAGTTTGTTATAAAAATGCTGATGGCTTTATTGCATTTTTTTATCTATTGCTTCTGCTCCTAGGTTCATTGTAAATGCTCTTGGGACAATCTGACTTAGTTGGATTTCAGATCAACTTTTCTGCACATTCTTTTTCTCGTCCATCACTCTTTCCTCACTCATTCTCCTCTGTGACATTTGGCAAATAAATTTTATTTTCTAAATTGTTTTTTTTTCTCCTAGGCTGCCACATGTCTCCATTAAAGTAGCTTCTGAGCTCTTTTAATTTCATCATTGTGATGATTACTTTACAATGATTGAACTTCCGTAGGAAACAGTGCATGTTGATTTCTTTTCCTTTACCTATTTCCCATTTTTGAGCATCAATTGTTTCTTTGGATATGTGAGGGTGGAGACCACAATTGCATATAGTGTCTTCTTATCTTTCTCTTTTCACCCAATCTGGTGTTCATTTTGACCTCTACTCTAACGAGCTGATTGTCTACTACACCCGGACATTTGATTTGGAAATAATTTCCATATTGGTAACCAGTTGTTTGCTGTCTACTAAGATAAAATCAACTTAATTGTCCATGATGTTTGGTGTTTGTCACGCCCAATATCTTCTGACCATATTCTTAAAGAAAGTATTCATGATATATAGTTATGAGGCTTCTGAGTAGTTTATAAACCTTTGGTCTTTTTCATTCCTTAATCCTGAGCCATTATTTTCCAACACATTTTTCATGGCTTTCCTCTATGTTTACCTTCACATTGAAGGCGCTGAACAGCAATGGATATGTTGTCTTGGTTTGGAGGATCTTAGTGGATTCATGATGGCATCTTTCTGCGTCGTCATCCTCTGAAATTGATATTGGTGCCTAAGTTGCAACCTACAAATCTACATCTGAAGAGACTTCAGTTGTCTGGTCCACATCCGGGATAAGGCACCAAAGTGTTTCTGCATCTGAATTTGCAGGTATAGTCAACAGGAAGAATCTGATGCCATTTTTAGCGGATTTAATCCTATCTGAGTGGCCAGTGTCATAGCATTCCAGAATGCAATTGTATTATTTGGTCCAAAATAGTTCCCATTTGTTAATTAGGTATATTAGCTGTTTGGAGACAGGAGGAAAGCATTTGGAA